TCTAACTCATCGAGTCACCTTTATGACTCATCGAGTTCATCAAATGTCCAGAAAGCCTAAAGTCAATTCAGGCCAAACCCTAATCCTTCACTACACTCAAATTAGGAACTCAAAAACAGGCAAACCCCACCCGACTCATCAAGTCAACTAAGGGAATCGACGAGTTTCTTTAGTCCCTTTCATGTTCAGCCCTTTCCAATGCGATCTAAGGTCCCAAACTTCAGATCTAACCTCCTATAGTGCAGATACCACGTAAAGTTGCAAACTTTACGTGCATGCAAGGCCCTTCAAGGTAATAACATCGAAACTAGGCTTCTTACAAGGTTTTTGTGCATGGAAAGGGGCTGGACTATATAAAGTGAGCAACTTTATTTCATTGGGGACCTAGAGAGGTCCAGATCTGGAACCATATCCTTGTGATAGGTCCAGATCCGAGTTTGACTCCATTTTGCCCTAAAAATGGTCATTTACTTACAAGAGAAGGGATCTAATCAACTATAGATCAAGGTGACAACTTTATACCTCTAAAAGATGGCTAATACATAGTAGATGTCAGATCTACTACTTCTCTCCTTGCTCCTTCCTCTTCAAGCTCTAGAATCCTTCACAAATACCCCAAAAATTGCACAAAAGCTCTTACTCTCACTCAAGAAGGTACAAGGCCGAATTAGGGTTTTCTCTGGCTACTAGGGTGATAAGGGAGGCCACAAGAGGCGGATTGTGTTCTTTAAATAGGGTGCAAACCCTAAAAATTAGGGTTTCTCTTTACATCTCCTACTCGTCAAGTCGGGGCCTTCTAACTCGTCGAGTAGATCCCGAATCCGCGTTCTTAAAATAGTCTCTACTCGACGAGTTGGAGCATCCCAACTCGTCGAGTCTACGCACAAAACCCTAAAAATCATATAATTAATCAATACATGGGAAAGATGTTAAAGTAGTGGTAGTGGCGGTGGCGATTATAATGGTAGGGAAGGTGACGGAGATGAAAGGAACGGGTTGCGCTACATAATTATTTATGGTTATAACTGACTTGCCATACTGGTATGTTTGAAGTTTGGAGCGACAGATGTGAATTATATGGCTGAGGTTAAATTTCAATCTCCCTATTTTATTTTGAATCTCAATAGAACTTACCTATCTCTCTCTCTATCTCTCTCTCTCTCTCTCTCTCTCTCTCTCTCTCTCTCTCTCTATATATATATATATATATATATATATATATATATATATGGAAAATTTCAATAGAGAACCATACTTATTGGTTCTTTAGGGAATCAAATCTTTTTTTCAATTTCTAGAGCTTATTCTTTATCGAAAAAAAAATCTAAAAATATCTAAATTCATATATTAACATTGTGAATGTGAAAAATATTTTTCGGATTCACTGTGTGAATCCGAATTCACGTTGTGAATTTTCAAAAATTCACATTGTGAATTTGACGTAAAAAAAAATCGAATTTAATATCATTTGAAAAAGGATAAAAAGTTATGAATTTCTATATTTTTAGTTTTTTTTTTTGATAAAAAATAAGTTCTAAAAATTGAAAAAAAAAAAAAAAAAAAAAGAAGATTGGTTCCTTGATTCTTTGGTTAATTATGGTTCTCTATTGAACCTCACCCGATATATATATATATATATATATATATATATATATATATATATATATATATATATATATATATATATATATATATATATATATATATATATATATATATATATATATATATATATATCAGTCAGCATCTTTTACGAACCCATATTATCCCACAAACTTTTTCATGTGATTTTTTTAAAATGACTTACGACATTAAGTCGATCATATAGAAATGCATACGAAAAAAAAAACATCTCGAAAAAATATGCACACATGAAAAATGCATATGTACATGAACGTCAGCAGTACATTTCTTCATTAAAAATAACTGATATATGTGTACATTTTTTTTCGAGTTTCTCTCTTGCGAATGCATTTCTATATAACTGACTTAATGTAAATGATATAAAATGAAAATAATAATATTTTTATTAAGCTATATATATATATATATATAATATATATATATATATATATATATATATGTGTGTGTGTGTGTGTGGAGTGGTTCAAATGAGAACCACAAAAGATTAAGAACCCTATTAATTAGTAAATATGTACATAATACTATTATTAAATATGTAAAAATCCTAAATTTTTGCCTTTTTGATACGAAAATAATAAAATTATAATTTTTAAAATCTAATATTTTCATTTGTATATGCTCTTTTATTTTAACACAAAACTTGTACAAAATACAATTTTACACAATCCATTTAAAATTTAATGCAAAAAATTCACAAGTTAATACAAACCATTTTACAATAATTTACTAATTAAAAAATGTCAAAAACTCAAACTCTACCACCACACACCACCACCAACCACCTGTATCAGCATTGTAACTATCATTTCTTCCAAATCAGATTTATAAATAAAGTTATGCATTAACTTAAATACTACATTCACAGTCTAATAACATATTAATTCATTTATTTTGAATTTAATGCAAAATAATTATAAAAGCTAGTAGATTCTTACAAATTTATACAACAAAAAAATCACAAGAAAGTTAACACAAAAAATTATACATAAATCATTAATATTTTAAGAGAAATTATAAAAAATTCACAACAAAATGTCATCAATTCAAAGTTTCAGAAAATTCACCGTTTAATGCAGTCAATTCATATTTTTAAACACAAAAATCATTGTTTAATATAAAAAATTCATAGTTTAATATAGTTAATTCACAATTTAAATAAAAAATCATAACTTAATGCAGTTAATTTAAAGTTTAAAAAACAAAAATCATGGCTTAATACATAAAAAAACACATCTTATTACAATAAATTTATAGTTTAATACAAAAAATATAAATTCACAACCATATTATCAATTTGAAATTTTTAATAAAGTCAATTCACAGTTTAATAAGAAAATTCACAACTTATTACAGTCAATTCACATTTTTAAACACAAAATCATTGTTTAACACAAAAATTCACAGTTTAATATAGTCAATTCACAATTTAATAAACAATTCACATCTTATTACAGCTTAATACATAAAAATCACGTCTTATTACAATGAATTTAAAGTTTAATACAAAAAATATAAATCACAACCAATTATCGATTTGAAATTTTAATACAGTCAATTCATAGTTTAATAAGAAAATCCACAGCTTATTACTGTCAAGTTACAGTTTAAACAAGAAATTTACAGCTTATTGAAGTTAATTCACAGTTTAAAACACAAAAATCATAGCTTAATACACAAATCATTTATATTTTAACACAAAATCTATATTAGATTCACAACTTAATATAACCTATTCAGAACTTAATACTGTCTATTTACAGTTTAATCACAAAATTCATTAGGAGTAAACTACCACATTTAAGTATTCGTATCTTTAATTCTTTACCCATTGGGTTACTCGGTTTTTTTTTATAAAAATATAATCACACTATAAAAAATCCAACCTTATTAAACAAAATAAGGATCCGTATTAAATATACAATTAATATTCATGTCTAGTTTATTTTAATTATAGACATGAATATTCTTTTAAATACAAAATTGTTTTATTTTCTATTCGTGAGAGCTTTATACTCATTTCTTTAACAAATTACAGATTTATAAATAGACTAATAATAAAAAGGAATAAAACATTGTTGCAACATTTTATTATTTTAATAATAGTTTAGTATTTTAATAATAAAACTATGAAACTGATTTGAGCAAAAAACACATTCAAAAAGACTAGTTCACAATTTGTTTACAACTTAATATACTAATCATTCACAGCTTAACAAATACATTCTTTTCATTAAGACATTTCATCAAACACCTTTTATGCATCTGATTAAAAACTTTTCTATATAAGCATTATCATCATAAATCCAACCATAGAAAAAATACACAAAGAATAAAAGATGAGGAGGTACAAAAAATCTGATCTGGTGGTAGAACCATCGTTGGCCACCTACAAGTGTGCAACAACCACCAGATCTACAACTAAAATACGTCAAACAAATCATATATGATGCAGATCTAATTGTATCACGAATATCAAAGATAAGAGATGAAGGCATACATGTCGGAGTTTCACCGGAGCGACGGGCAGCAGAAGTGGTGGTGATTGACGACGTTAGTGTTGTTCCTCGGTATTAGAGCTCAAAAATGTTAGATCTGATGCAGATCTACGTGTTTTTCACCAAAAATCATGGAGAAAGAGATATAGGAAAGCTCGTCGTGTTTAACCGGAGCTGAGAGGAAGCAACTATAGTGGCGGCTAACGGCGGTGGTGTGGTTTGTCGGTTTGTCGTAGATCATGAAGAAAGAGATGGAGACGAGTTTTTTGTATTTCACCGGAGTGAAGAGTAGTAGTGGTGGTTATCAGTGATGGCCTTCGCCGACAACGAGGTTTTTGACTCCAAATCTAAAGCCAGTGGCTGTGAACGGTGGATTTGAAGTGAAAAACTTTGGAAACTTAACATTCAGATGAGGGAATGTGGTAGGTGACGACGGTAGTAGGCGGCAGGTAGCAGCAGCAAGTGGCGGACATAGGTGGTAGAACTGATGTTAGGGTTTGAACAATTGGGAGAGTTTGAGAGAGTTTCTTGCAAAAAAAAATTTGTAAATGTTTGAAATGTTATCCATTTGTTAGATATTTGTTGTTAAAGTTGAAAATAAATATTAGAATAGTTAAAAATAAGTGGTTTTTAGAGTTTTTAATCTTTTTTAGTTCTTATTGGTCTTTTATATATATATATATATATATATATATATATATATATATATATATATATATATATATATATATATATATAATTTTGCTTAAACAATATATTTTTTTTAAGTTTATCAATTTAAATTTAGAAGGGACAGAATCATATCTTTGTACCTAAATTTTGCTTAAACAAAAAATAGATGACATAATCATATGTTTGTACCTTAAATTTTGGCACACAAGTACATCATGTTTCATGTGGTCCGAAGCTCTTTGGAAACTAATAGACGTGGAGAATTTATACATCGACCACCAAAAATTAATGTTTTTGCTTAGATTAGTAATTGGGTTTTCTTTTCTGAAAGCATAATAACCAAAACCTGGAGTAATTGAAAGATCAAGTGTGGGAATGGCGTTGCAATTCACTAGTACCTGTAACTTCGCTTTTAGCCAGAAAAAGGTTGAACGAATCAGGGCAGTTGCTTCAGATGGCGTTGTGAAGGTGCAAACCGAGGAAGATAAGTTCGTGAAGCTGGGTGGTTCTGATTTGAAGCTCACAAAGCTTGGGATTGGAGCTTGGTCATGGGGCGATACCAGTTATTGGAACAATTTCGAATGGGATGGTAAGTGAGATTACATGTTGAAAAGTTTGTCCACCAGGTGTTTGTTAAAATGTCCTTGGAAGACTTTTTTAAGCTTGTATGTTCTATTATCTTTTGGTTTCTGACTGAAAATGTTATTGGGATCTGATTTCTCTATGGGATGATCGCAGATAGGAAGATGAAAGCTTGTAAGAACGCATTTGATGCAAGTATAGATAGTGGTATAACTTGGTTCGATACTGCTGAGGTTTATGGCTCGAGGGTAAGAATGAATTGCATTATGATCCTACTTTTCTGGAAAAACTCTGTGTTACTAAAACCTCAAATTTCTGTTTTTTCAGTTCTCATTTGGTGCGATAAATTCTGAAACACTACTGGGAAGGTATTCTACAAACCAAGTAGTAGTGGTTAACTTGATTTTCATCTATAATTATAAATGAATTTGTGCTCATTTATGTCACTTTGGGTCTGTTTCTTTTTAAGTATTCACATTGATAAATTATTGAATGGGTAAACAATCTACGTGTTAGAAGTAATGTCATATTCACATTGTTTTTATCTGCTTAAGATTCATTAAGGAACGTAAGAAGAAGTATCCGGAAGATGAGATAGCTGTTGCAACTAAATTTGCAGCATTGCCATGGAGGCTAGGGCGCCAAAGTGTCCTCTCAGCCCTTAAGGACTCATTGAGTCGACTCGAGCTCGACTCAGTTGAACTCTATCAACTTCACTGGTTTGTTTCTTAGCCTCCTTGGGTTATTATATTCATGTCACATTCAAGTAAATCGTAATAACCAACTAACTTTTTTATAAATTTTCAGGCCAGGAATTTGGGGAAACGAAGGTACTTTGCCTAATTGGCTTACTCTTTATATCTATTTTGTATAGTTTAAATGCTTAACCTATTAAGCCCATTAAGTAAAAAAAAAAAAAAAAAAAAAAAAAGCACCTAAGTTGGATAGTTTTTTTCAGGGTATATTGATGGTCTTGGAGATGCGGTGGATCAAGGGCTTGTGAAGGCTGTTGGAGTCTCCAACTACAGCGGTATATTTTCATTTTTTTTTTTACAGTTATAACTGTTAAAACCGGTCCCACTGATGAGGTGTCCTCAAAGCAAGAAATGTGATGCTTGGGTTTGAACCTAAGATCTCTTTTATGTATTCTTAGCTCATTACCACTTGTTTGATTTTTTTTTTTTCTTTTGGGAAATTTGTTTTTTATAGAAAAGCGTCTTCGTGAGGCTTATAAACAGCTAAAGAAACGAGGTATTCCGTTGGCTTCAAACCAAGTCAATTACAGTCTCATTTACAGGATACCTGAGGAAAACGGTGTCAAGGCCACGTGTGATGAACTTGGGATTAGTTTAATTGCGTATTCGCCTATCGCTCAAGGTTTGAGTTGTAATTTTGTATTTTCTTATAAAGAAAAAGAACTAAAAAACCCTAGAATTGTCATTCTAATTTGCAATAACCTTTTTTTATCAACTCCTGCAGGTGTTTTGACGGGAAAGTATACTCCGCAAAACATCCCGACAGGTCCTCGAGGAAATATTTACACTGCTGAGTTCCTAACTGAGGTAAGACCGCAAGGGCAAATCTGGAAAAAGTTTAATTTTTTTTTCCATACTTACGTCATACAATAATCTGTTTCCCTTCAGCTGCAACCGCTTATAAACAGGATCAAGGAGATCGGAGAGAGCTATAAGAAAACTCCAACACAGGTACATTTGATATGACATAACAGAACAGGTTGTACAACTATGACCAGGACTAAGATGTATGATATGTTGCCAGGTGGCACTCAACTGGCTCATAGCTCAAGATAATGTGATCCCAATTCCTGGAGCCAAAAATGCAGAACAAGCACAAGAATTTGGTGGGGCATTGGGTTGGAGACTAACTAGTGATGAGGTTGCTGAGCTTCGTGATTTGGCGTCAAAATCAAAACCCACAATGGGTTTTCCCGTTGAAAAGATGTAAATTGGCAATACACATTTCATTTTTTGTAATTAAAGAACATATAGATACTTTGTTACTGATATAGATCCAATACATACACATATTTTTGCTTATTCTCCCAGCAAACAACCCCTAAGTTAATTAACACTGTCCAAGAATGACCACTCAATTACAATTTATATATGATACATGAATGTGCAAATGACAATCTCAAAAGTTTTACACGATATTTCTATCTTAAACAAAATATAAAACCTTGAAAAAAAAATTGACAGACGAAAAGAATGAGAATATAACCCGAAAACATTATTCCAACCCTCGACCTCAAATAATGAACAATGCATATTCCTACTCCTAATTAACTTGTACACATTTTCACCCCGAAAGACCTCCTATATAAGTCCCGTATATGGATTATATGATTGAACCGGGACACCCGACCCATAAGGGTGCGAGGTGGGTCCATACGGATTCGCAAATGGGTTTGCACTTTGTTGTGGTGGGGACATCATCATCATTTGTTGTTGTTGGAACATGAAGGCTTGTTGCTGATGTTGTTGTTGAGCCATAGCCATTTGTATGTTGTGTGGTGCGGATAGAGCGGTTGAGCCGTAGAATGGGCCCGGTGCGGTTTGTGGCGGCGGCATCATGGTCCCGGCTAGCGGACCGTGTTCCCATGGGTTGAAGCTCGCGGTTTGGTTTTGGTTGGTTCTTCTGATTGCATCGTCGTAGAGACTATCGAGTGTAAGTTTGTCTAGCCCTCCAGCCTGGCATTTTAGATATTTGACTAATATAATCAGACAGAGACAAACAGACAGACAGTGTGATAAATAATTATGTTTGGAGGTAAATGTTATGTACCAATTTGCTTGCGGATGCGGTGGTCCCATTAGAGCTTGGAGCGGTTACTAGGGCCAACTCCCATCCGGAGGTTCCGTTGAATGAAGTTGTGGCGGTTGAAGTTGGTTGGTCAACTGTCATAGCAACAAATAAATTTTAAAAAAATAAATAGAAATAAATTACTATTTTTTGCAATAAAAACTATAAATTACATACCAACGGGAACAATAGCCAAAGCTAAAGAATTCTTCTGGTCGAATTCAGAAGCGTCTGTAACCGGATCATCCAAACACTAGCAACACATGAACAATTAAATAATATTATATAAAAATAATAATACATTATAAATAATATAAAATAATTAAAATACCAGTAAATCTGGTGGTGGTTTGGAGGCAACTGCTTCCACCTTAATGGGTTCAGCCACCGGTTCAGCTATAGGTGCAGCAGGTGGTGGAGATTCCGACTGTTTCTCTTGAACCTCTGTTTCTTTTTTGTATTCTATGGCCAAAATTGTTTTCGGTTTGCTATCCTGAATTTTTGGGAACATAAAATTTAAGAAGATTTATTTTTTAAAAATTTTAAATATTTATAAGAAGTAGACAGAAATATCCTACCAGATCTTTATGAACAGTAGAAGCACGAGGAGCTTCTTTCACGTATTCTTCCATGGCTTGTAGAAATGAAGATGGGGGCTTCAGTATAAATAAATAAAAAGAAATTAAAATACTACAAATACAATAAACAAATCAATAGAAGTACGTTGCTATTTCTTGCATTTAACCCTAAGAACTTTATAAGCAGATGACCATATTCATATTTCATACCTGTTCAATCTTAATGAACCTGTCCCCACGTCCAATATCAAGACTTTTACATACTTCATAAAACTCAGACAATCTTTCAGCCTGAAAACATTGAAGAGCATAACATATTAACATAACATATCTACCATTTTTGCTAAAAAACTTCAAATAAAAATTACCAGAATAATACTACCTGTTGTCCAGCTCTCCTATATATATCAAGAGCCTTAAGAGCATCATGTCGTTGCATCTCAAAGAACTGTTTCATGGTTATGTTTAAATTATCAGACCTTTTTCTTTCTTTCTTTTTTTCATCAAATGAAATTTGAATTTTTATACATAAAATTAACGTTTACCTTGTCTACCAAATTAACTGAACCATCACTAATTGCATTGTAGATTTTCATGCTTTCAGAAGCAACCTAAAGAAGCAACAAAGATAATAGTAAGACATAATGGGTACTATATTGAGTGTTTCTTTTTTAATTAATACAGAAAGAACGACTTAATAGAAAAAGTCATGAAACTGTGGCTATCCTCATTACGTTTAACATTTTACGAATTTGCCCTCATGCATTATTATTATTAATAACAAGCTTACTAACCATAGAAAGTGCCAGCTGAATCACAAAGTTATGAACTGCTGCTCCTTGTGGCTGCATAGGATACAAATTAAGGTTCAGATTTTACTATGATTAGGTTATTAAACCCATCTTTTACATTAAAAAGCACCAAACTTTAATGTTTAATAACAACTTTAACTAAATAAGTGTTAAAGATTATATACCTGACACCCTAAAACACGAAACAGAAGTTGCTGAAGAGCTGGTAGTTGTTCAAGTAGATCGGGAGTATCAAGATCTTTTGTTCTCTGTATCACAATTTTTAACAAAGATTGTTAATTTAGTTGAAAATTATAAATGATCAAATTATTAAACAAAACACTATATAAATTATTATCTTACAGGGCGATCTGTTTCAACATCATATTTCAAGACTCTGAAGCATTCCAGCCTTTCTTCCAAATATAATGCATATGTCCTAACCCAGCCAGAATAATCCCATGCTGAAAAGAATATCAAAAGATATTTTTTTCAATGATTTATATAGATCCATATATTTTGATTCATGAAAAGAAACATTTCAAGGTACCATTTGGACTAGAATCATCTTTGAAGTAAGATAAATTGAGCACATGGTTTCTGCTTCTTCCATAGTTGAGAAGTTCTTCTTGAAATGTGGGGTCCACCTCCCTCAAAGCCCGATGAATAACAATTAAGGTTTTCAAAGCAACCTGAATTTCAACCAAATTTATTTAACCAATTAACATCATTTTCGATAGTTTTAAATATATACTAACAGTGTAGCAAGTATATAAACAACTCTTTGAAAATTAATAGACTTTATTCTTGAATGCACACATTTTCCATAAGTTTTTTTTTACAAAGTGGCAAGGATCATGTGACACTTTCATAACATAATCTATAAGAACATTAAAAATGCAGAGATAACTTTATTGGCATGAAATCACATCAAGAATTATTGGAGGAAATGCTTACTGCCCAATTATGTGTCTTTGACAGTCTTCTTGCAAGAGCATGTATGCAATAAGCAACATCAGCTCGAGGTCTTGTAGCTGAGATAGCTGCAAATATAGCTGCAAAAAAGAGTGCAAAATTGAAGAAAACATTACTTTTCCATTGTTTAAATAAAATAAAGATGGAAATACTTCTAAGATGCCCTGAATTTTAACTTTAAAAATAAAATAACTTACCACGTATATGTTTTTCTTTTGCTGGACGCTCAACATGGTTTGTAGCCTTGACAATATTTATATCCAATTCCTGCAGAAATTACACCAATGAACATTATTAAAGACAAACATATTGCATATTTGCATGACTTTTGTTTAACTTATAAAGTAAATTCCAAGATATTCATGTACCTTGTAGTCACTACTAACTTTAGCTATATTGACAGTTGTGCTGTCCTTAATTGCTCCAAGAGCTTTCCGTAAACTGTTTTGAGTTCCACCACCTGACATTCTTCAACAAGGAATTCTAATCCGATCTACAAAATTAGGGAAAAATTTCAGGAAGATCATCTTAAAACCATCTCATCATCAAGATATCAACTCTCAGTGTAACCAATACTATTGAAACATATTAGTTCCTAGAGTTTCAAGTGTTAAAACTAACACTGTTAGTTCCTTCAGCTCAATTAGTTGATAGAATGATAGTCCACATATAGTAGAAGATGAATCTAGCCTATATAGATATCAATAATCAAAAAAAGTGATTCGAATTCAGCTAATAAGATAGAAGTCCATCGGGACCCTGAAAAGTGAAAACTACGAAATTCCATTACATCAATAAGAACACATACAAGTCACACACAAAGACATAAAAGGTATACAAAATCAATTCCTGTTTAGCAGGTTGGAGAAATAAAGTTGCAAATCAAAATTCAGGAACTGAGGTCAAAATCATAAACTAAAACCGAGAAACAAACAACTAAATTCAAAACACACTTGGTATCTATTGATAGAATTGAAATGAACAAACTCAACGATGAACTCCTACCTTGCAAAATTCGGTGTGTTTTAGCTTCAAAAACAGAAATTAGATGGATCAGAAAGATGAAATTGACTCACCGGAATCGTTTTCTAGAGAGAGAAAGAGAGACAGAGAGGCGTCTGGCTGGTGTGTGTTGTGTGTGTTGTGCACCAAAAAGGTCTACAAAAACACAAAAATGGAAACGAATTTCGTATTTGGTTGGCCGTCGGCGTCAAATAACAAATGCTTTTCTAACATTAATTAATTATATTCTGTCTTAAAATACACCTCGATTTCAAATATAAATTATAAAAAATGTTTAGCCAATAATTAAATTAGTAATAAATATATTATATTTAAATCGGTATGTTTGCAAAAAGGGAAAAAGTTGCATTCTTTTGAAGTTTAAACAATATGAATTATGTTTTTTCACGACAAGATATATAGTATTTTTATTATTCGTTTATAAATTATTAAATATATGAAACTAATCAAATTTAATGAATAAAACATGAAGGACAAACATATGAGAATTCTGAAAAATAATGTAATTATAATGGATACTCAAATTAAAATATATGTGTTGTCATATTGAAAAGTATGTTATATAGTATGTAACGTAGAAAATGATTTCCAGAGATTTGACCCTAGAGTTGTTGATACCTGCTTGTTTTTGTAAGTATTATTATATTATTTTTATTGATATTTTATGTATTTATTTTTGTGTAAAAATCACTTTCAGTCATGCAAAAAAAATTGTATTAAGATGTTTGTATATTAAGAAGTAGTGGATAATATACTTATGACATGTCATAGTTATTTTGATTATGTCACTCGTCTATGACACATCAATTGCTAACACATAAAGCACATATTGACATATTGTTTTACTTCAAGAATGAATATATATAACTTAAGTATCTTCTTTAAATCAAATAGTTTTTAATTCAAAAGTTAATTCTAGTAGTTTTTTTATTGGTTTTAGCTTTTATATTGTATATTATTTCACAAATTTCAAAATTTTATATTACACGCCCAACTACTTGTCATAAATACCTGAATTAAGCTGTATAATTTCACCCATCGTGTGAAAATATGTAACATTTTGAGATACATTAATTTAATTTAATTTTACTAACTAATCATTGAATAGTATAGTTGGTGTATAATTATAAGAATATTTAAATATTTTAAAATGTAAAAAAGGAGGAAAAAAAAAAAAAAAAAAGAAGTAAGCCAGAAAACTCCAAATCTTCATTCAGATCAGATCCTCTCATTTTATATCACAACATTGTGGAAAAGGTACGATGATTGAATACATCCACAAAAAAACACATCCATGTATACAAATAAATAGAGACCGTCCGATCAAAAATGAATGAATTAGATTGGATTCAATGGTTTTAGCGAGACCACCTATTATCAGATCCAGCGGTTATAGACAGCTTTGCGGTGGATGAAAGAGACAGCATATGTTCCACAGTTTATTCACATGTGCTCCTTTAAAATCTTAATATTGACAAAATCGTCCCTAACTTTTCTGTTTCTGTCAATCTTTTCATTTTGTAACTTTTTTACCTTTTGCACCCAATTATTCATGAAAGTTTAAATCTCCCTTTTTCATGTCCCACATTTGCAATTATTACAAGAGTAAATTACACAAATAGTCCCTATGGTTTAGGTTAATTTGCGCGTTTGATCCCTAACTTATATTTTTAACTCGGAAGGTTCTATTATTTGTTTTTGTTAGACGTTTGATCTCTGTCTTACCTAAAAAAAACTATTTTGTCCTTGATTTTTTATCTATTTAAATAAACACACCCACAATCTCACCCCCTCACCTTACCTAACATACCTATCATTTTTTCTAATTTAAATAATAGTCTTTTTAGGTAAGATAGGGATCAAACGTGTAACAAAAACAAACAGTAGATACCAAACGCGTAACAAAAACAAATAATAGGAACATTCCGAGTTAAAAAAATAAGTTAGGAATCAAGTACACAAATTATCCCAAACCATAGGGACCATTTGTGCAATTTACTCTTATTACAATAGATCGTCATTTTTCATTATGATTTTTTATTGTATAATATCGCCAGTTACATATGTGTTATGTAATATTTACTCTATTCCAAAATGTGTTTAGTAGAGAAAATAATTAAAGAGGCTTTTATTATAATCTACAACTGAAGTACGAAAAGTGATTTAAAAGAAAAAAGAGGGCCGAAAGTGGGGCTAAAGTCATTATTTTAAAGTTATGTGCATTAATAGAATTCAAATAAAGTTTGCGGGTAAAATTCAATTTATATTTTATACCTTTTACGAAAAATGAAATAATTAGCAGCTGGGCCCACTTCATGAGGTTGACCTTCTAGCAGCAGCCAATTATTCACAAAATTGCAAGTAAGGACACCAAATTGTCGGTGAGGGTATCTATATTTACATATGCCGCCCTTATAAATGAAATAATGTGAAATAAGCCCTGTCAATTATTTTTATATATATTCTGAAAAGGAAGGTCGGTGGCCCGACTTTTCTTTTAATAGTCCCTGCATTTTTTATTTCTATTGCTTTTTTCCTTTTAGTTTATTAAAGAACACTTTGTATCCTTTACTTTTTAGAATTACATTTTTACTCCCTTAACTTAAAAAACTTTCTAAATTATCATTTTTACATTTTTATTTTTTAAACTTTCATATTTACTTATTAAGTATATATAATCTATTTTTTTTATAGTTAACACCTTTAACTTTATAAATATCATTTTCACTACCTCGGTTTTGGCTTTGAAAGAGTTCCTACCATGTATTATATATAATCTAATTTTTCTATCCACCGACTTCATCTAGGTTTCGGCATAAAACTTTTATGTTTGCATGTTTATTTTTAAAAGCATTTTCTTGGCATGGTTGTTGTTCTTGACTTTTGTGTATGGCAACTTAAATCCTCTTAAGTTTCTATACATGAATTTGATCTCTAACTTTTGTCTTTAACTTTTATCCTATTTACCCCTATTAGTAACTACGGACGCATCTTTTATGTTTTTTTGGTATATATATATATATATATATATATATATATATATATATATATATATATATATATATATATATATATATATATATATTGGAAGATATCACTACGCAAACAACAAACTACTATAATACCAGTAAACTACTATATTTTCTATCAACAATAGAAATGCATTTTCTTTCACCAAAAATGGTACTTGTAGTATCAGAAGACGCCTATACTCAAACGAAATAAAAATACAAAACAACCTTTTCGTATACTTTCAATAAATAACAACTAACTTCCTAGTGTTTTTTAAATCTATTACTATCATCACAAAGAGCAGCAGGTATAATACTAGTATATTCTAAACACAAAAGTCAGTGGCCATACTACTGATTTTTCTCGCTTCTACTTTTCTTATTTTTCATTTTCATCACTTTATTTATAAAACTTATTAGAATCGGTGTTATTTCTGGAAACAGAGTCATCTTTCAATTTTATTGGACTGCTTCAATTTGTTCTATTTAAATATTTCTTTGTTATTTCTCGAGTTCTCTTCCTTTGTCTAGTTAATAAGACTTTATTCTCCAGATTCTTCCAAACTTGCTCATCTCTGCTCCAAAGTATCGCTCCTCTACTTTTCTTCCCCATACAAACACGACTTGCCCAGACAAAAAAAATAAGTATTCATATTTGTTAAACCGTTGTCGCGCATGATTTAAGCAAATAATAATTTCACTGTTTGGCTGCACTAAATGATAGCATAGGGAAGTAGGATCGAATCCTTAGGGACACAGTCTAATGGTCAATGTCTCTTTCTATAAGACACATACTAGTCAAAACATACAAGATAAAAAAAATATATATATAAAAAAAAAAAAAAAAAAAAAAGGGGGGGGGGGTGCGGGGGGGGGGGGGGGGAAGGGGGAGGGGGTCGATTTAAAACTAAAATTAAAAATTGCAATGAAATTAACTAAATGAAATCAGTAATAAAAAATGAATTTATTTCTACTGCGATTTTCTTAATCATGTAATCAGCTCAGATTTGGTTATTCAAAATGCGTTTTATCTAAACCGGTATTGAGAAAAACTAACAAACATTAGTATGATCTTTTTTACCTAGTTAAATTAACCAAAATAATCTCTTCGGTTAACCTTAATTTTTTACTGTCTAATTAAACAATATCTTAATTAAGGTCAGAAAAGTTGCATTAAGATATGCATAAAATTCTTAGCAATACTTCAATACTTCTCACAAGCTCGGAAGGTAAAGGTATGAAATTTTAGTTTATATCATAATTAAATCCCAACATGGAACCAATTTGATACTTGTTACTTATTACCAATTGACAAGAATAATTACAAATTATGTTAACTGATTAACTAGAATGATTAAACCCTAGCTAGGTGATCAGACTAACAAGAATTAAAAATCAAACATTGATTAAGCTAAAAACTGAAATGTAGCACCTGGTTCCTGGTATGTATTTTATTCTAGTATCTTGCATTTTGGCCTTGGACTCGGCGAGTTGAGGTCCAACTCGTCGAGTCGGAGCGTACTGGACACAGAAGTTTAATGGCCTACTCGACGAGTCCGCATCCAGACTCGGCGAGTAGGCGTTGTCCAGACAAAATCCTAGATGAGGGTTTGCACCTTATTTAAACCACTTATTTAGCCTCCCTTTCGTCCCCAATGCTTCCAAAACTCCCCTTAAGCAAACCCTAGCCGTTTTTTAGAAGAACTAAGGCATTCTTGGTGGATCTTGTTAGTTGTGACCATATGGAGGAAGGGAAAGGCTTAAGGAACCAAGTGAAGACCAAGGGAACCCGAGTTTGTGCATCTTCCACAATTCATTGGAGGTATAAAGTTATAACCTTGCTTTTTCATTTGTTAGATCCCCTTTTAGGGAGATTTAAGGCTTTTACAAGCCATTTTTGGTGACCAGCCATGATTGCAAGCATGGTTGGGGGTTGAGACTTCAGAATCAAGCCATTAAGGGAGTCACAAGGCAGTTAGGGGTTGCTTTTGCACCCATCTAAGGTCCCATGCATCATAAGAGCTTATTTTATGACCTTTTGAGCTCAAAGTCCCATGCATGCACGTAAAGCTTGTAACTTTACGTGCCAGAACGATTGAAGGAGCTTAGATCTACCTTTTGGTCAAGAGTTGTACGCTGGAAATCGAGAAATGAGACTTGGACATGCCCGACTCGACGAGTCCTTTTTGGGACTCGGTGAGTCCGAGGCAAAACTCCCCCTTTTTGTTAAGGTTTGAAGGAACCCGGTTGAGCACTAGAAGGGTTTTTAGAGGGTCCAAGGGAGTGACCCAACGTATTGGATTTAGCCTTAGATCTGGAGTTCATGGGACTCGACGAG